CAAAGTGCTGAAAAGAAAAAAAAAATGCCAACCAAATATACTTTACACAAAGTTGTCCTTCAAAAATGAAAGCAAAATACTTTAGCCAAAGGAATACTGAAAAAGAAAACCAAAGTTGGAGGCATCACAGTGCCGGACTTCAAGCTGTATTACAAAGCTATGATCATTAAGACAGCATGTTACTGGCACAAAAACAGACACACAGATCAATGGAACAGAATAGAGAACCCAGGAATAGACCAACTCCATGGCCAACTAATCTTCGACAAAGCAGGAAAGAATAGCCAATAGAAAAAAGACAGTGTTGGGAATGGTGTTGGGAAAACTGGAGAGCCACATTCAGAAGAATGACTAGATCATTCTCTTATGCCATACACAAAGATACACTCAAAATGAATGAAAGACCTAATTGTGAGACAGGAATCCACCAAAATCCTAGAGGAGAACACAGGAGCAAACTTTTTGACCTTAGCCACAGCAACTTCTTGGAAGACACATCTCTAAAGGCAAGGGAAACAAAAGCAAAAATGAACTGCTAGAACTTCATCAAAATAAAAAACTTCTGCAGAGCAAAGCAAGCAGTCAACAAAACTAAAATGCAACCTACAGAATGGGAGAAGATATTTGTAAATGACCTATTAGATAAAGGGCTAATATCCAAGATCTATAAAGAACTTATAAAACTTAACACCCAAAAAACAAACAATCCAGTCAAGAAATGGGCAAAAGACATGAACAGACATTTCTCCAAAGAAGACCTACACATGGCCAATAGGCACATGAAAAAAAAAATGCTCCACATCATTTGTCATCAGGAAAATACAAATCAAGACCACAATGATTTGTTACCACGTTATACCACTAAGAATGGCTAAAATTAACAGGACAGGAAACAACAAATATTGGTCTGGGTGTGGAGAAAGGGGAACCTACTTTACACTGTTGGTGAGAATGCAAGCTGGTACACCCACTCTGGAAAACAGTATGGAGGTTCCTCAAGAAGTTAAAAATAGAGATATCCTATGACCTAGCAATTGCACTAGTGGGTATTTACCACAAAAATACAGATGTAGTGAAAGAAAGGGGCACCTGCACCCCAATGTTCATAGCAACAATGTCCACTCTTCAACAGATGAATGGATAAAGAAGATGTGGTATACTTATACAATGTAATATTATTCAGCCATCAGAAAGGATGAATACCTACCATTTAAATTGATGTGGATGGAACTGGAGGGTATAATGTTAAGTGAAATAAGTCAGTCGAAGAAAGACAATTATCATATGGTTTCACTCATATGTGGAATATAAGAAATAGCAGGAGGAGAATAAAGGAGAATAATAAAATAAAGGAAGGAGGGGAAACTGAATGGGTAAAAGTCAGAAAGGAAGACAAACCATGAGAGACTCTTAACTCTGGGAAACTGAGGGTTGCTGAATGGGAGGTGCGTGGGGGGATAGGGTAACTAGGTGACAGGCATTAAAGGAGGGCATGTGATATGATGAGCACTGGGTGTTATACTGTATGTTGGCAAATTGATATTAAATTTTAAAAATAAAAATTATTTGTGATCTCAAAAAAAAGGCTGAATCATGAAGTGGAAAATCTGAACAGACTAATAAAGAGTCAGCTTGAATCAATTACCAAAAACCTTGCAAAAAAGAAAAGCCTAAGACCAGATGACTTCACAGGGTACTCCTAGAAAACATTTAAAGAAGAATCCATGTCAATCCTTCTCAAACTCCTCCAAAAAATTGAAGAGTTACCCCTGATACAAAGCCAGATAAGGACACTACAAGGAAAAACATAAAACAAAACACTATAGATCAATATCCCTGATGAACAGAGATATAAAAATTCTCAATAAAATACTAGCAAACTGAATGCAAAGCACATACCATCACCAAATAGGATTTATCCCTGGGATATACAGATGATTTAGCATACACAAATAAAAAAAAAACACGATATATCACATTAATAGAATAAAAGATAAAAATCATATGGTCATCTCAATAGATGCAGAAATGGCATCTGACACAATTCAACATTCTTCCTTGATAAAACTCCTAAGAATAGAAAGTAAGCATACAAGGCCATATATGAAAATCCAATTACCAATATCATGCTCAACAGTGGAAAACTGAAAGCTTTTATTCTAAAATTAGCAAAAAGGCTTACTCTTGACACTTTTATTCAATATAATATTGGAAGAACTAGCTAGAGCACTTAGGCAAGAAAAAGATATAAAGGTATACAAATTGGAAAGGAAGACATGAAATTGTGTCTGTTTACTGAAGACTTAATTCTTATATAGAAAATCCTTAAGAGTACCAAAACACTGTTAGAATTGATAGATGAATTCAATAAAGTTTCAGGATTAAAAAAGCAATACATAAAAATCATTTGCACTCCTATACACTAACAACTATATAAAAGGAAATAAAACAATCTCATTTACAATAGCATCAAAAACAATAAAATTCTTAGGAATAAATTTAAGCAAAGAAGTGAAGAATGTATATACTGAAACTATAAGATACTGATGAAAGAAATCTGAAGACACAAATAAATGTAAAGATATGCTGTGTTCAATGATGGGACAAGTTATTATAATTAAAATATCCATAGTACCCAAAGACATCTATGGAACCATATCCTCTCATCAAAATTCCAATGTCATTTTCACAAAAATAGAACAAAATACAAAAAATTGTATAGAACCATAAATGACTCAAAATAGCCAAAGCAATCTTGATAAAGTATAAAGATGGAGGCATTATACTTTCTGGTTTAAAAATATGTCACAAAGCTATGGTAATCAAACAGTATGGTATTAGCATAAAAACAGATATTAGATCAATGAAACAATTTAGAGCTCAAACCCACGTATAAAGGTCAACTAATATTTATTTGACAAGAGAGCCACAAATACTCAAGAGGGTAAAGGATAGTTTCTTCAAAAAAATGGTACTGGGAAAACTAAATATTCATATAGAAACAAATGAAATTGGGCCCCTAACACCACTCATGAAAATTAATTTGACTTACAAAAGAAAAAAGGACTGAAATAGGATTAGGATTAAGGACTTGAAAATGTAAAACTCCTAGAAGAAAACAGAGGGGAAAAGTTCCTTGACATCAGTCTCAGCAATGATTTTTGGGAAATGACACCAAAGTACAAGCAACAAAAGTAGTCATCAAGAAGTGGGGCTACATCAAACTAAAAAAGCTCTGCACAGCAAAAGAAACAACCAACAAAATGAAAAGGCAATGTACAGAATGGGAGGAAATATGGGGTTAACACCCAAAAGATGTAAGAAACCCATACAACTCAATAGGATAAAATCAAAACAAATCAAATCTGATTTAACAATGGACAAATGCTCTGAACAGACATTTTCCCAAAGAAGATATACAAATTACTAACGGATAAATGAAAAGGTGTTCAACATCACTAATCATCAGGGAAATGCAAATCAATACCATGACAGATCTCCTCATACCTGTCAGAATGGCTATTATTAAAAAGACAAGCGATAAATGCTGCCAAGGATGTGGAGTAAAAAGAATGTAAATTGGGAGGAATTTAATCAGCAATTTATATTCCTGTTAAATATAAATTCCTGTTAAAGGAATATAAACTGGTGCAACCACTATGGAAAATGGATGTTTCTCAAAAATTTAAAAATAAAACTACCATATGATCCAGCAATACCACTTCTGGGTATATATCCAAAGGAAATAAAATCATGATCTCAAAGAGATATCTGTATCCCTGTGTTCACTGAGGCATTGTTAATAGCCAAGACACAGCAGCAGCCTAAGTGTCCATCAATGGATGAATGGATAAAGGAGATGTGGCATACATATGCACACACACACACCCCAAAATACTATTCATTCATAAAAAAGGAAGCTATTCTGCCATTTGTGATAACACAGATAGACCTTAAGGGTATTATTTTAAGTGAAATCAGACAGAGGAAGACAAATATTGTATGTTCTCACTGAGTATGTGGAATCTAAAAACACTGGACTCATAAAAACAGAGTAGATCATGCTTACCAGAAGCTGGGTTGTGGGGGAAATGGGAAGACCTTGGTCAACAGATATAAACTTTCAGTCATAAGATGAATAAGTTCCAGGGATCTAATGCACACCATGGCAAATACAATTAACAATACTGTATTGTGTATTTTAATACTGCCATGAGAACAGATCTTAAGTGTTCTCACCGTAACAACAACAACAAAATGGTAATTACGTGAGGTGAAGGACATGTTTACCAACCTTACTGTGGTAAACATTTTGCAATATATGTGTACACCAAATCAGCACATGGTATACCTTAAACCTAACACAATTATATGCCAATTATATCTCAATAAAACTGGAAAAAATCAATAGTCAACTCCAAAGCAGGAGTGGAATGTACACTTAAAATCCCTACATTACTCTCACTAACCTTCATAAAATTTTGTATCTTATCAATGGCTGTGAAACTTTATTCAATTGTTAGAGCTCTCAACAAACCTCAGAGACTATTTTTTATTAATCAAGAGAAATACTATGAGAATTTTTATATTGATTTCCTAGGAAAGCACAAAATAAATAAGACATTAGTACTATTATGTTATAATTAATATTAGTGTTTGAGAGATCAGATTGTCATCAAAAAGGACAAACACTGGATTAAAAGATCCTCTCTGAGTAAACAAATTACAAGTATATACACATTTAAGAGCTGAATAGAAAAAAATAAAATAATAAAATAAATTAAAAAAAAAGAGCTGAATAGGCCTCTTGGTGGAAAAATAATGGAATGAAACTTAAAACATTATTACCCATGCTAAAGACAAAAGAATTTACAGCTTCTTAAAACTTAGAGACTTTTAAATTATTCTAATATTAGCTTTACCAATCTGAAAAAAAGATTGAACAAAATCAATGTAGTGTGAACATTTTGTTGTGTTTCTCATTGCTTAGGAAATCATACCTCGTAAGAGCTGTTCCTGTTTTACCACAAGTCCCTGGTATTTTTTAAAGGTTTTTTCATAATCTTTTCTCAAGCTTTGGTTTTCAGGGTCTTCATCAAGTAAGCAACTTAAGTTAAGGATCATCCATACTCGTTGAAACAAAGAAAATCTACTGAAATATACTATGAAGAACAGTACTATTTTATGTGCAGTGTTACCCAGTTATTTTCTATAACCAATAGTTTAAAATATTCATCTCTACACAATAATTTTAGAACTTCTTAAACAAGAGTTCGTGGTTATGCTTGGAGACTTTGGGTAAATGCATGTTTAGGTTTTACCAAACACCTGAATCCCCAGAAATTTTATGCAAATATCTTATGTATGGACACCAGTGGATCCACGAATCAAAAGGATTGCTGCCTCAGAGAGTGTTTTAGTTAATAAGAATACTTAATTCCACCTTGGACAGATGCCCAGAACATTCAAAGGATGTTGATTAGATCTAAAATGCTTTAGTATCCTCTTCAGACTCCCCATCAAAGAGAACTATCCTGAAGTTAGAGGTCAACAAGATTTTTAAATTATACCTTATGGCCCCAAGTAACCCTCTGGACAACTGCAAAAATAACTAGTTATTTCAGTCTGACTTCAGGATCAGTGCTTGGGGAAGCACTTAAAAACTTCCCTCTCATTGACTGCTGCTTGTATCAAAACACAAGGAATCGCCTGCATTTCAGTATGCCTTGTAATCCATGATATCTGATACTTAACAGGAATATGATATATCCTAAAATATCAATTCCCGTCACCCAACAATCACACAATATTAATTAATAATTACTAAAAGTTCCATTAGTGGTTCTCTCCATACACCTCCTATTAAATGAATTTCAGGTGTATTTAGGAGACTTGTAACTCTAGAAATGATCTAAAGTCTCCAGGATCACTGAGCTGCCCATAGGATTTAAATCTATACCATTTAGATGTCAGAAGTTCATAGCACAAACAGAAAACCCCTAAACCTGCAAAGATCTTAATTAAGAAAAGTCAAACTTGTGTGTACATTAGGGTGAATTTTTAGAGTATCTTGGGGATTTCATGATGGAAAGGTAAGAAATATATGATACTCTGCACAACAGGAACAATATTTTTACTTTTTTTTTGTAAAGATTTCATTTATTTATTCATGAGAGACACGGGGTGGGTGGGTTGGGCAGAGACACAGGCAGAGGGAGAAGCAGGCTCCATGCAGGGAGCCCGACGCGAAACTCGATCCCGGGTCTCTAGGATCACACCCTGGGCTGAAGGCGGTGCTAAACCGCTGAGCCACCCAGGGTACCCATATTTTTACTTCTTAAAAGAGATCAATAAATATTGGGTTCAAAGGAAAATTACCAGTATGGTTGCTAAATAAGCCATATGAATAAACTAGGACCTATAATCTAGAAAAATTAAGCTACAGAGGCAGTATGATAAATATTTTCAAATACAAGAAAAGTGATGTTTAAGAGACTAACCTATTCTACTTTGATTTAGCATGCAAGATTAGATTCAAGGGACAGAAGTTACTGACAAGTGGATTTTAGTACACTAAGCAAAGGAACATTATAATAAATAGGATGTCAAACCACAGAATGAACTAAATAAATAAGAAGAAACACTGTTGAAGAAAAGAGTAAATATCCAATTTGTAAAGGAAGCTGCAGAAAAGATTTCTTCATTGAAAGATAGTTTAAAATACATCATTTAAAAAATTTTTTAATAATAAATTTATTTTTTATTGGTGTTCAATTTGCCAACATACAGAATAACACCCAGTGCTCATCCTATCAAGTGCCCCCCTCAGTGCCCGCCACCCATTCACTTTAAGATTCTTTTCATAGGTTCTATCATTCTGCAGCCTCTTAGATTTGAATATATTAAGAATTTTTGGACATAATTAGTAAAACAGAATTTAATTCCAATCAAAGTCAACTTATTACAGACAGAACTACATAAACCATGGTGAGACAGGGCGTCAGTTAACCAAAGGATCTTAGGGGATATAACGATAAGGTCACTTAAGAGAATCACCAGCTCAATTATCCAGGACCACTATTATCTGCTCCTTCTAATAAACTAATCAAAGAGACAAAAAGCATATGTCAAACTATATTCATTCTGATAGTTTCAATCTTCATCTTAACCTTCCACACTCTTTTATTTTTCCAAATAATGTAAATGGCAAAAAAAAAAAACCCCAAACTATCCCACCTATCTACATCTCATAGCAACAACCATGGGGTGAAATGCCACTCTGAAAGGATATCAGCTTTCTTCTTCTTAGAGAGTTCTTCTTGCCACAGTTCATGTCTTTTTAACTCATGATCAATGATATTCATACATAGAGCTCCAATTTTATAGTGAGTGATAAGTCCATGAAACTGAGAAAAGCTTTAAAGAAGAGATTTTAGTATATATTTGAAGCAATATGTTTTGTAGATTCAGGAAATTTATTTTGAGTAAACACTTGTACGTTGGTATAATGGATGTAGAAAATAAAATTTGATATATATTTCAATAAATGACTACATCCATGGTATACTAGGCAGAGACCTGAAGTTATAAGATTACTTTAAATATATTTTCACATACTATCCTTACCTGAAATAAAATTACTTTTAAATTAGAAATGAAAGAAAACACATTTTTTTGTAATCAACCACCATTTTAATACTCTCAAAATAAACTTTCAGACTGCTGTAAAACAAAGCTAATAATATAACAATACTAATATTAAATAAAATAGATACCAGAGAATATAGATCAGTAAAATATTAGTAATCAGGTTTTTGCATGTGTTTCCTATACAATTCATTCATCCAAGTATTTATTTTAATAAATATCTATTTGCTAATGCTGGCACAGTTTTAAAATAGAGGCAGTTCTCTGGGAATTGACTCGAAAATTTTTCACAGTATCTCAATGAACAACTTTCCAGAGAATACATGTATACAAATAAACACATATGGATACCTAAAAGTTATCATACACACACACACACACACACACACACAGTGATACATCACTGGCGCTTACTCTGAGTCAGGCTTTATTCTAAAAACTATCCAAAAATGGTGCTACTATTATTATCCAGTTTACAGATGAGGAAATTGAAGCACAGAGAAATAATGTAATCAACACGGGTTGTAAATAGCAGTACTGCTATTACGTGGATTCAAATCCAGTCTATTTTCAGAGTCCATACTCTTAAATTCTAAACCATTTTACTATTCTACTCTGCACATGCATGGATCAGTACAGACTGAATGAAGGACAGAACAATGGAAAGGACAGAGAATGGGAAAGAGAGCATGAGTTTAGAGACAGAACATGGGCAGACATACAGGAAGACTGAGCAAACCAGTAATCCACAATCCAAACCATTAACAAAGTGAAAGAAACAGAGAGAGATTTCTACTTTTATTTCTTAATTTTTATACTTACCTAGAAAAGCAAAAAAAGATGTAAATTATGTTTGTAGCCAACTCAACACTTTGTTTCCAGTCTTCTCTTAGGACTCTTGCTAATGCACCAAGGGCAGTTTCTAATGACATAAGAAACATATAAAAATGATCATTTGCCTATAGTATAAAGGGTGATTGGTTTTAAATGTCTACTTATTAATAAATAACAAAGCTAAGCTAGAACTGGAATAAAAAAGGAAGGTGTTTCTTTCCAACACAGAAAGCTGTTTTTAAAATTGAAATACAGCTTTTACTTAAAAACTCATAACATGTAACTTTAAGTCTCTAACTACAAACAGAAAAGTAAAATATGATTTAGATAAAGTAACATGGTAAGTACATTGAGTGACAAAAAAATAAAAAGAATTTTTTTAAATTTGTATTTCCACTTATAATCTTGCTACTACAGTGCCATTTTTTGTTTGTTTTTTAACATCTGATTTAATGTGTTTGTGAAGAAGGAAAAAACTAGAATCAGTCTAAAAAGTAATGAGCAGTTTAGCAGGCTAACACTAGCTCCATTGAAGCAAATTAATAAGCAAATAAAACTTACACACATAAAAATAAATCTATTTTAATATTATGTTAAATTAATGCCAACAGACATAAAACAAAAAATCTTTCATAAAATTAGCTTCAGGGTAGAATAAACATCTCTGGTAGATTTTTATCTTGAGAAAGGGAAAAACTTAATGAACTGATTAATGAGAATTACCATATGCTAAGTAAACATAAAATAATGAGACGAGTTTCAAATTAGAATTGTTACATAGCTTACCAATGCTTAAAATATTAAAGCATTAAAAAATATGTGTGTTATACAGAGATCATAATTCAACTTTCTATAATAGGCACTCAGAATCTACTGTACTTTATGGACTGCATGACTAGTATTAGTTATGGTAATGAAAGTGTTCAACTTATTTTTGCTCTTTGGTCATTCAGAATATGAAACTATTATTAATCTACTTAGGAACTTTTCAAGCTAAAAAACATCCTACAATATCATTTCATAATGTTATTAATACTCACAATGCAGAGCACTGGTATACCATGCTTTGAACAAAACTGTCTGGAGTCAAGTAAATAGTTAGGCAACATACATTAACATGTAAAAGCTCCACAAAGTTCTACTTAAAGAACCTGGTAACTTTTTTATTCAGTACTAATGAAAAGTATTTCACCACTATAATCCAGAGGAACCAGTATTTCTTAGAATATACAGTTGACCCTTGAACACACTGGTATGAATTCTATGGATTATGATTGGAAAGAAACATAGAAGTTGCCAAATGACTAGGAGGGAAGGCAAATGAAAGATGCAGAGAAGTCTGAGACAGCAGGGCTCTTGCCTGCTCCTGGCATGCCTCACATCACTCACTATCTGTTGGAAGGTAGGTTCATCGAGGTCTTGAACTGAGAGGTAGACAGGAACCAGCTCTGGGAAGAGACTGTTACTGAGGTGGTGAGGCATGGTCAGTCACAGGCCAGAATCGGCCAAGGACCACAGAATAACTTGCCATCCTCCCTCAGCCCTCCACTATCCCCCACCTAGGAGTAACAAGTCCAGAACAATGGGGCCAAGAGCACGAAGCAGGAACCTGGGATGCAGAGTGGACAGCAGGGAGGTTGCTGTCCGTGGTGCTGAAATCTCTCCAAAGTGGGGAACTAACTCCTCAAGGGAACTGGCAGCTCACTACTTGCCAGCATCTCCTATAACCAGAAACTGCATTAGAACTTCATAAAGGGGGTCTGGTCTGATAGAGCAAGCAACCTAGAGAGACAGGTGAAAGTGTTCTGCCTTCACTCAGATTCCATGTATACAAATATTTCCCACATTCTTGGGTATGGAAGCAAGGAACGGGTGCCACTCCATGATCCAGCTTAACTTTGGGGACAAGGAGAGGTGTGGTGCCTTGTTCTATTACTGTACAATATGCAGTTAAGTTTCTTAAAAGTCAAAAATTACATGTGTATTTTTGACTGGAGCGGAGAGCTACACCCCTAAACCACCCTCTCCATTGTTCAAGAGTCAACTGTGCTTTGGAAAATAATGTACTATAATGTCATGAATTTAGGTATATGGCTAATAACCTATTTTCCAAATTTCATTTCATTTTTCTCCATTAGTATAGAATAGAAAAGTGTCTCAATAAAAATATAGCTATGGGAATTGTACATAGATCATCAAGAAATAGCCAAAATAAAATTATGAAGTTTACTGAAGGCCAAAATATAACCCAAAATCAATTTATCAGTTAAATGCAATCATAATTAAAATTCCATTATAATTTTTTAGAGCATATGATAAAGCAATCTCAAAATAATTTATTAAGAAAATGTATAAGACCAGCAACACCTATTTAAAAAAATCAACAAATTGGAACATTTCTCCTACCTACTCTAAAACTCTAGTCAAAATACAAAACAAAACATAACAAAACAAACAGTATAATAGTGGTATGCAAATTATCAAATAGATCAATGGAAAAGAAAAAAAAAGCATTAAAATATACCTATGAATATACCAGAACAGTACATGGCAAGAATAGGTTTTTAAGAAGTATCTATTGAATAACTGAATGCCAGGCATTTAACAGAAATGACATTTCAAATCTTTGGGGAAAGGAGTATTCACTAACTAGGTTGGAATAACTGTCTATTAAATATGCAAAAAATTTACATCTCTACTTTCTACTTTCAATAAAAATGAATTTCAGGGCCAAGCATTTCTGTCACCAAAGTAAGGACCTCTGAAGATCCATTTCTCTATTAGTGTATTAAAACACTGGTAGAGTTTTTACCAGTTTAACTGGTAATAAAAGTCCTTCAGAAGAGAATAGTACCATTAATGCTTTATTTATTGTTTAAATTAAATGATATGTGAATTCTTCACAGTAGTTAAGTGTTATGGTCTTATGTTAAAAAATTTTCATAAGAAGGTAACAAAGATCTGGGAAACAAATGCATTCCTAACTTTGGTATAATGTTAGCTTTCTCTTTTGTAATAAACTTAAAAACCATATTATACAACAAATTTTCTATTTTTAATATTTATAGATATAAATCACCATTCAATAGCAGTTCTTCCAAGTTATCAGGATTTCGAGCAAGCTGCAGGATCAAAGCAGAACCCCGAACTTTGTCAGGAATATCTTCATATAGTAACTCAATGTATTCATCCATGTCATTAATGTTAGCAACTTCATCAATCTGAAAGAAAGGAAGAGGAAGTACTCTAAAAGAACAACAATGTTCAACAAAGCTACTGTCAAAAGAAGGATATTTTATGGTCAATATATTGCCCTTTTAATAACAGACAAGTTTTCAAAGTACTCATAGTCCTTTCATAGAGGGGAAAATTAGACCTTTGGGTGCTAGGAATCCAATACAAAAGTAATTATATATTATATAAAAATAAGATATATACTCTAAAATTGGCCTATTAATATAAAGTATCTTAAATGTTATACAAAATAATTTAGTTCTACTTCAACAGGTTAATTGGTATTTCAAAATATAATGCAATAAGAATATTTAAAACACTTCAAAACTTACTTGTCAAAGTAAATATATCTAAAAAACATGCCACTAACTTTTGCCTGTATGTAATACTGAATATCTACCTTTCCAGGTTCTAAGTTCAATAATTTTTAAAATTTCCATATCTATTTAATGTTATTATATGAATTATTGATGGGAAAATGGAACAACCTTACAATCAATCAGTTATCTATTAGATCAGAATACAGTCTTACCTCCATTCCTTCAAAAGGAGGTGGATCTTTAGGCTTGCTTGATTTTTCTTTTTTTTCTGTAAAAAGATTTTTTTTTTTTTTAATGAGAAGAACTAAGTTTTTAGAGTTACTGGGCAATTTTTATTTTTAGCAGCTGACTTCAATTATGGCTGAGTTGAGGATCTTCAAACTTCAAACTTCAAAGTTTATAAAATCATCTTTTTCCCAATAAATAAAAAATTCAAAACTGTTCACCTATAATCCATCTGTTCTAATGAAGATATCAAGGAGAGTATAAATGATCCCAAAGTCATAATTTCATTTCCTCCTTTGTTACTATCTTTTTGGGTATGTAAACAGCCAGACTCGCCAACAAGAAGCAAAATAGTCCCTTCTTAACTCACATTTAAGATGGGAGGAGGAAAATCAATAAGGCAACGATACATTAATAAGTTGAGTAATATAAAAACTAAAATGCAAAAAAAATCACTGAAGGTAAGTAATCACATAAATTAAGTATTACTATTTTGTTTCAATCACTTTTAGGGTGCAAGATTCTGGCTTTGAAATAGTGAATATCAAGTAAAAAAGTTAAAAAAGAAAAATGGAATAGTTTTTAAAAAATAAGTGTGTATTTAACATAGCAACAGTATTTCATTTATGTCTTCAAAACATTAATATCTACATAAGCAGATTGATTTGAACAGATTTACCCATGTTGACATGAAAATTTCTTTATATTCCTTTAATTTGGGGGGAAGAAGGTGAGAAAACTAATTTACCTTGAAAACACAGTTCAAGGGTTTTAGTAGTAAAGATACTCTAATGTAAATGCACTTGGGATTAAATTAATTAGGCATGAGGAAAGATCAATTTTAAGGACACTGTATAACTCAAAATAAGTACACACATTTCTTGCTAGAATACAGGATTTACTTTGCTCACTTTGAACTTATTTATCAAAGGAGTTATCCCCCTCATTTATAGAGATCTTAAGTAGAATATTCTATCATGAAACAATAAAAATTCTTCTTAATATTTTCCTTATAGCAGTTATTATGAATAATTAACATACATTGAATGCCAGTTATGTAGTTGGATGGAATCAAATTCAAACTGCTTATTTTTGCTTTTAAATAAATTTATCATCACTTAATTCATCCAAAAATACATACTGAACACATTAGATATTATATTCAGGGCTAATAAAAGTGTATGTTAGACACAAGGCATTTCATTTGTTGTAAATAGAAAAGACAGAATAATTTGAAAAAAGCCCAAGCAAATTTTCTTTTACTTCTTTCTACTTAGTATAATCAACACTTAAGCATTTATGAATTATTTCAAAGGCACCACATTTTAACTCACCAATGGTGAAAGAAAGACATGTAAACTTAATCAGTACTATGAAGTAGAATATGTATTCAATAATCTGAGATGACTTTCTATTCAAATGTCTGTATTTTTACTTTGTTTCATTTTTGGTTTAGAATATTTGATGATGTCTTCTAAAGATAATTGCTTAGCTTTAATATTTTAATGGCTTGGTTCTTTATGAAGAAATTGAAGACAGAAGAATGGCAACAAGGAAGACATTATGAATGAAAAAGCAATATTTTCCTAAGAAAGATTCATAAAACTTCTATCTTTAGGATAGTTGAAAACATATGACATATATTTTAACATTTAAATGCTTGAGTAACCCATTCAAATTATAAATTAAATCTCTATAAGAAATTTAGAAAATAAAATCTAATTGTGTAGAGAAAATAGATTTTGCCGCCCCAAATTCTCTCCTTTCATTATTCTAGAGTCAATATGACATTTGCTTTTTCACTCCTTACCTCAGCACATATATACACAAACATACACACACATCACAATATGAAATATAGACAACACACACACACACAAACATACAGACACAAACACAAACACACACCTACCACAATATGAAACAGAAACATCATTTTGCATAGAAGTATCTAATACAGAGCCTTCCTGCAGGAAACTAATAGGTTTATTCTTTCATTCATTACTTACTTATAGCACTGGCAAAATAAAATAAAACAATAACAAAACAAACCCCATGATTGAAATATCAAAAGCAAAAACTATAAAGAACTCTGGTTATGCATTAAAAAGTAAGGAATTATACTTACCTTTTCCTGACAATGAATCCCGGCGGTTCTGTAGATAGTACAACAGCTGTTCTACCTCATTTAATTTTGAGGGATGAATAAGTTTACATTCTTCAACCACCTTCCGTGCCAGGGAAGATATATCTGTGTTGGCATTGAGACTCTTAAGACGAATGCTGTAAGCATATCAAAATTTTCCAACTCAGGTAATGCCAAAGTAAGTGATAAAAATACTACTTACAAATAAATAGTTATAAAGTATTTAAAGGTACCTGACACAGACTCTTTTAGTAAAATATAATAAAGTATTAGATGTAATTAGGCTTAGAAAAATGCAAACAAATGATTTCTTTGAACTGGACAGGCAAGATCACAAAAGGAACATAAAATCTACATCTGACTCTTCTAGACAAGATAGCATATCTTGTCTAAGACAGGTATCTTGTTTTAAAACAGTCTTTCTGACAATATATATGAAGTCTTAATTAATCATTATTGGATATGAGAATCCATATTGCCAAAAATAAGTAATTTTCTTGACCAAACTCACAATTATTTAACTATGGACACACACATAATATCAGTATTTTCAGATTCAATTGTTCTGGTGGAAACAATTGGCAATGTACATGGATTTGTGGTACCAGGGAGAGCCATGAAGACGCAAAATTCGGTTCAGGTGAAAACTCAATTGGTGGCAAAAGACTCAAGCAGATGTACCCATGTATGCCTTACATTCAAAAAGAGAAACATTAACAAAGTAGCCACTGTGTGGAATTATTTTTTGGTGAAGACAGCCGATGTTGGAAGAGACATCAAGATATTAGAGGCAGTTGGGACAGAAATCTCTGAAAAATGCTTTGTCCTCAGCATCTGTGAAATCATTATTCAAATACTGATGATCTGAAATAAGTGCAGCATAGTGATTTATATATTATTCCCAGCTAAACAGTCTTCCCTCAATCTGGTCCTCCCAGGATTCTACAAATTACCTAATAGTCTTTAACAAATTCCTTTTATGCTTAAATTCCCTAGAGTGGTGGGGTACCTGGGTGGCTCAGTGGTTGAGCATCTGCCTTCAGCTCAGGTTGTGATTCCAGGATCCTGGGATTAAGTCCCACATCAGGCTCCCTGCGGGAAGCCTGCTTCTCCCTCTGCCTATGTCTCTCTCTCTCTCTCTCTCTGCTTCTCCCTCTGCCTATGTCTCTCTCTCTCTGTTTCTCTCATGAACAAATAAAATCTTTTTAAAAAATGTGCTGAAATGGCTTCTAATGTATGCGACAACCAGCAATACTTAGTCCATTTAAGTTTTCTTTAATCTATTTATATTCCTACGGTTTTAAATCTCTTAAACTATTTATTTTTGTATAATTTTAGCTGCATATCCAGAAGGCATCACGTGGTGCCTTTACAACAACTGATGAAACAAAACTGATACATTATCACTGAATGAAGTTCACAGTTTACATTAGGGTTCACTCTTTGTGTCCTACAGTTCTCTAGGTCTTGAATGTATAATGCCATGAATACACCATTATAGTATCATACAAAATGGTTTTACTGGCCTAAAAATGCCCTGTGCTTCACCTATTCTCCCCTCCCTCATCCCTTGAACTCCTGACAGCCTCTAATCTTTCTACTTTCGTTTTTTCTTTTCTAGAATGTCACATATTGGAATCTTTCCAGTCTGGCTTCTTTCACTTATATGCATTAATATAGTAAGGTACCTCAAATGTGTTTTCACATCTTGATAGTTGATTTCTTTTTAGCCCCGAATTGTACTTGGTTATATGAATGCACCACAGTTTGTTTACCCGCTTGCCTGTTGAAGGATACCTGGCGTGCTTCCAATTTTTGACAATTATAAATTTTCTACAAACATTAATTCTCCTGTTTTTGTGTGGACATGTGTTTTCAACTCATTAGAGTTCATATCTAGAAACACAACTGCTGGATTATATGGTAAGCCTATGTCTAACTTTGTAAGAAATTGCCAAACTGTCTTCCAAAGTGGTTATAATACCATTTTATATTCCCACTAATAATGAATGAGTTCCTGTTGCTCTATATCCTCACCAGCATTTGGTGCTGTCAATGTTTTGGATTTTACCTATTCCAATAGGTATGTAGTGGTATATTGATTTGATAAAGTAGATTTTTCTATCCTTTTTTAGATCTATTTTCTACCAACATATATATTAACAATCTGACTCATCTTCTTTCTATCCAAGGTAATAGATTTTCTTCTTTCAGTGTGTATGCCTCTCTCCTAACTCCTTCCCTCATTATAAAAGACAAAGAAAAAACAGGTAGGGCTAGAATTTTTAGAAAATGTCAACCATATGTTTACTGATTATACTCATAGTAAAAAATCAGAACCTCATTAGGCAGTCCATACCTACTAAGAACATCAAAAACCTAGAAGAAAAATACCCAAATTATTTTTGGTCCATAATCATCAGTATCTTATAAAGAAATCTTGAGAAAACTGGGACTCCGTTGAAGATGGGCTTAAATATTCCTTTACCTAATAAGGGAAAATGAAATATAGTATAAGTCTTTTAGACCTGGGCCATAGCACTGACTCCCCCAATTTAATGACAATTTCACTTCGTATTTGTCTAAGTCTATATGAGTGTCCCTCTCAAAATCAGCCTATATGAGTGTCCCTCTCAAAATCCTTATCCCCACTTGCTGCCATTGCTAAAACTTCTTGAACTATCAACAAACTACATTCTCCTTTTGGTCCTACAGTGATTTCTCTCCAAACCTTGCACAGCCACAGTTGAGTATCACAAGGTTGAATTACTTACGTTTTCCCTTACTGAAGTTTAAATCCACGTACTCTAGCCATAGTTGGTAGTAACTCCTGCCAAGTGGTTGACACTTGGGTGAATGTATCCTTTGTCTAAAAAGTCCATGGATTTCCAAGCAATAACAACATTCTCGTTTAATTCTAGCTGAAGGAGGCTACTTACTGCATTCTTAAGAACTAAAAATGAAATCTCTCACCTGAAATGTGGATATCTGAAGTTCTAAAGGCAAAGACTAATCTGCTACCTTCTTTGGAAGTCAAATTAATAAGATCTCAAGAGATTTTTACATGTCCTCAAAATGCACAAAATTCAGGCAGCAATCAGAAACACATTAATGGAAGAGAAAGTGTAAGAGGACACAGTCTAAGTACTGTGTGTGTGTATATGTGTATTTTCTTCAGTTTAGCGGATTATGCAAGGACTCAGTTATTTTAATGAAATATCTGTGTAATTTAGTCTCCTAACACAAAAAAGGAAGATGGATTAGGGATCTTACTAAGATATTAGGCAGTTTCTCTTTGCAGGTTGCTACACACATGCAATTTCTTAATTGCAGCACTATTAAAATTTGGAGCCAAATCATTCTTTGTTTGTAGGTGGCTATCTTGTACATTGTAGGATGGTTAGCAGTATCCTGTCCTCTATCCACTAGATTTCCAATAGGATTCCTCCAGTTACAACAACCAAAAATGTCCCCAGGTATTACCAAATGTTCCCTGGGGGAAAAAAAAATCACAGCCAATTAAGAACCACTGCTATATATTTAAAATACAGTATTTTTCAGTGTGCTACACCACCAGAACATACTAGTACTTTTTAACTAGTTAAAACTCTTTTAACTTAGTTCCAACATCAATTTTTTTTTTAAATGGAGGGAGAGATGTTGGAGAGAATACTAGGTAATCTCAGACCTTCTTTACTTCCACAACACTATGGAAGAAGGGCAAGACAATTAGCAGCACAACTAATAGATTAATGAAAAAGGCCAGTTTCCAATGGGCTCCTGAAAGTATTATAAAAGAAGGAAGGAAAGTATGTAGGATGTCAGGAGATATAAGCTCAACTCATTGAGTCAGAAATGCTCATTTTATTACTAACATCTTTCATAGGGCTAGACTTTTAAGGGATGAATTAAAAGTACATGCCCCATTTGAGAATTCTAGAATTCATAGTATTTTCTACAGTTCCAGGGAAAAAAGAATACAGACAGGATCCCCTAAAATAGACATTTCCTAAATTAAGCAAAAAAGTCTCACATAATCATATCTTTTATTACTGATTTCACAAGTTGTAGTAGTTTATATTCTATTATATGCATTTACTAAATGGGATAAATTAGAAATTATATTTTTCAAGAAGCCCCATCATGCTTATGTAAACCTGATCTTCTCTGGAATAAATATACTCTGATTTTATAGTTTAATATAGTCTCTGCTTCACTAAGATGAAGTATGTCTAGAAGAATGCTATAACCATCTATCATCTATGCAGATATAAATACCATCAGATTTCTACACAATTTGTATAAGGTTCACTACTTTCAAAACATACACAAATGAAAAAAACTTACATCTTTTGACATTCCTTTCGTTCTCCCAACATGGGATCACCCATTTCTCCAAGAATAGTAGCTTCCACTTCATACTGAACAATGAGTGCTTTTTCTGATGGATGTACATCAATATTTCCTCCTTTAACTTTCCTATATGATAAAAAGAGACACAGATTAAAAACTCACAAAATGTTCATGGTTTTTACCTAGTTTCTAGTTCCAAAAGCATGTGGGTTGGATTAACATATGCATTTAAATTATATTTTCTCTTGACTTGGACCAAGAAACCAGTCTTTTTCTCCAAGTCTGTAAACTCTGTACTATACTTATTATGCTTAGTCTTGCAGAAAGCATCTTAATAAATAGCTATACCTGAGGAAGAAATACATTTACACAAAGAACCATGCATAAAAGCAAGTAAATAAAATAAATGTTTTGGAGAGAATAACCTCAAACAAAAATTAGCAATTCAAAAACACAGATAGCTGCCCAAAAACTTATATTTTATTTTCTATTTTATTTTTTTGTTTTATTTCTTCTCTTTTCTTTTTACGTGGGTTCATGCATGGAGCCCAGTGCAGGGCTTAAACTCATGATCCTGAGATCAAGACCTGAGCCAAGATCAAGACTCAGAGGCTTAACCAACTGAGCCACCCAAGCACACCCCAAAATTTATATTTAAAAAATCAATCTTCCTAACAATTAGCCCATTAACTGTAACACAAAATGACATGAAGAAATTATGTAAACTGCAATATTTATTATGTATCATCTTATATAACTCTGTAGATTGTGGCATTAGTACCTAATCATTTTTCAAATCATACATTTTTTATAGTTATACATCTCAAATTATAGTGTCACTAGCAGTTCCCATGGAAAGTTCCTATATACATCATCCTTCCGAGCTTCTAGAGTTTATACAATGAATGTTTAATTATTGAAAACCAATGACAAATTAATTCCTTGTCACTTGGACACATTTGAAGGTGACAAGTTGTACTCAAAGAGATTAAGCAATAGAACAAGATAAATTTCTCCCTGTGGTCACAGTGGGCTAGGGGGCATTTTAGCCTGATGAGAAGAAACACAAATATGACAATGTCTTAAATTGATTCCAATAATTAGAAACCCAAAGCTTTTCCTTCTGTTAGAAATAAATGGCTTCTTATGTATATTTTCAGTGTAATTTTTTAAATGATATTTTCATCAGAATTCTTCAAGTAAAAAAAAAAAAAAGCTAGGAACATGGAGTCTGTATTGGGACCATGACTAAGACTCAAGTAGAGAGACAGAGTAGGAAATCAAATATAACAGTGCTAGAGTGTAGGTACATCAGCAGCAACTAAACTGACAGTAAGGTGTTCAGAACAAAGCTGGTAAAGAATGGAAGCAACTAGAAACCAGGCAGGCCAGTAATAACAGGAAATCAGATAAACACACATATACTAAACAGGATGGTACAGAGTCCAAAAGGTAAGATAAATGGATACAAGTCGAGGTTAGCAATTAAAAGCTAAAGAAATCATAGGAATCAGGGATCCCTGAGTGGCGCAGAGGTTTGGCGCCTGCCTTTGGCCCAGGGCGCGATCCTGGAGACCCGGGATCGAATCCCATATCGGGCTCCCGGTGCATGGAGCCTGCTTTTCCCTCTGCCTGTGTCTCTGCCTCTCTCTCTCTCTCTCTCTCTCTCTCTCTCTCTCTCTGTGACTATCATAAATAAATAAATTTAAAAAAAATTAAAAAAAATAAAAATAAAAAAAATAAAGAAATCACAGGAATCAAAAGAACTAAGAAGAGCTTAAAAAAAAAAAAGATGCACTAAATAGGAAGCACTACACAAACTATCTTAATTATAAAGCAAACTAGTTATTTGTTTCCTGATGAGATGGAGAGCAAACCCAGTCATGAATTTCCTATACAGAAAGGGGCAAATTCAATGAAGAGAATCATAAGGATAAAAAATGCAGATCTTATGAGAAGTCTCCTACCACCACTTTCACAGTAGGTCTTCCACGTACCAAGAGGTGAGATAGAAGCTTAATTGCTGTCTTCTGGTCTGATATCTTGCCTTTCTCAAAGAAATTAAATAGATCAAAGAATCTTCCCACTTCTTGCTAGTGTGTGTGTGTGTGTGTGTGTTTTAAAGAGTAATAAATTCATTCAATTTTTAAAAGTTTATCACTAAAGCAGGTTATGTTTTTATAGGAAAAGCAGAACACCGAAATTGCAAAGAAAAAAATAAACTCAAAAACCTAGAAGAGGGGATCCCTGGGTGGCGCAGTGGTTTAGCGCCTGCCTTTGGCCCAGGGCGCGATCCTGGAGTCCCGGGATCGAATCCCACGTCGGGCTCCGGTGCATGGAGCCTGCTTCTCCCTCTGCCTATGTCTCTGCCTCTGTGTCTCTCTCTCTGTGTGACTATCATAAATAAAAAAAAAAAAACTAGAAACCAATTTTAAAAATTTAGCACATGTACATTCAGATATTTTTCTACCAAATATAAATAATAGAGTGGCAGCTCTAGATTTCCTTTATAGGAGAGACCTAAGGGTAACAATCTGGTAGAGTTGAAACTACATTGAATGGCACTTTACATTAGAGTAACACAAGTTACTGTTTATATCAATGTGGGGGCTGATGGAAATTATGGATGGATAAACCCCTCCCACTCTCCCTAGCATTGTAACTGAATATATAAAATACATATAGGGACGCCTGGGTGGCTCAGCGGTTGGGTGCCTGCTTTTGGCCCAGGTTGTGATCCCAGCATTGGGGATCAAGTCCCACGGCGGGCTCCCTGTGAGGAGCCTGCTTCTCCCTCTGCCTTTGTCTCTGCCCCTCTGCCTCTCTCTCTCTCAAATAAATAAATAAATCTTTCAAAATAAAATAAAATACATATATTACAACTAAGCTCATATTACACTAATAGTAACATACATTTAAAACTTACTATGTAGTCACTTTATGACAATGCTTTGCCTTTAGAAATTCATACACTCACATTACAGATTCTCCATTTGTTGAATACCTTGATTCTTTATTTCTAACTGATGCTGAACAAAATTTACACATTTACAAAACATTCAAAATCATTATAGGGCACTTGATTGCTTTACCAAGTAGTTCTGTAAAGGCTAAAAACATTTTGTAATTCAGTTACTCTACGTATGATACAAATATTTCAACACTGACAACCATGGCTTCAAATTCTAGTTCAGCTGGTAAAATATTCCAGCTTATTTGGATACTGTTATGAATTATGTCTGCATGCAACCTATAACACGTACATATCTGCTGATGATAATTGATTTAGTATGAAAATTTTTCCAAACCAATGTGCCTTGCCAAACTTATATTTGAATTATCGCCACAAAATGAATAATTTTGTCTTAAAGCTGAACTTTCAAACTGAATTTAACATGGTAATCATAATGATGTCAGATGTTTACATATCAAGAGAATGAACTTTCAAATGCTTTACCTGGAACCCATGTATTAGATTTTTAAAAATTTAACTAATTATTGGAATTAACTGATTTTTCTATTTGAAGCATCATATGACACATAACAAAACTGCTATCTTTTAACTGTAAATTTTTTCAACAAATGGAGCCTTCTCAATAACACCTCTATTTTTTTATATACATAAGAAAACCAGAACCTAAAATATGCGAAGTTAATTTAGAAAAATCATTTTTAATACCAATGTGAAGTCTATGCTTCACAGAGTGATATAAAAATATATCTTCTAGCACTCCATGTAATAGTTGTCATTCTGGGGATACAATGTTCTTAATAATTTCTGAAGTACATCCTAATGTTTCCAGACTTTATGTGGTTGATGATATAATTATGATCCTTAAAGAGAAAATAAATGCTGACATTACATTACACATTCATCAATTTTCTAGAAAAACAAAAATTCATTATCTTTCATTAAACAGGTACTTAAAAAAAAAAAAAAACTATTGCTGTTGAAAGAATTTACTCCAACCTTCCATTCAAGATGGTAGCATGGGAGGATTCTGAACTCCCATAGATACATCACATCTGCAGCTACATATGAAAAACTTTCCTCTGGATGTAGAAAAGGGGGAACCCTCTTGTACTGTTGGTGGGAATGCAAACTGGTGCAGCCACTCTGGAAAACAGTGTGGAGGTTCCTCAAAAAGTTAAAAATAGAGCTACCCTATGACCCAGCATTTGCACTACTAGGGATTTACCCCAAAGATATGGAGGTAGTGAAATGCTGGAACACCTGAACCCCAATGTTCATAGCAGCAATGTCCACAATAGCCAAACTGTGGAAGGAGCCATGATGTTGTTGAAGGCAACAAATGAATGGATAAAGAAGATATGGTGTGTGTGTGTGTGTGTATGTATGTGTGTGTGTGTGTGTGTGTGTGTGTATATATATATATATATATATATATATACACAATGGAATATTACTCAGCCATCAGAAAGGACGAATACCCACCATTTGTCTCGATGTGGATGGAACTAGAGGATATTATACTGAGTGAAGTAAGTCAATCAGAGAAGGATGATCATCATATGGTTTCACTCATACAAGGAATATAAGAAATAGTAAAATGATTATAAGGGAAAGAAGGGGAACTGAGTGAGAGAAATTAGAAAGGGAGACAAATGATGAGAGACACCTAACTCTGGGAAACAAAGGGTGGTGGAAGGGGAGGTAGGTATGGGGTTGGGGTAACTGGGTGACAGGCACTGAGGAGGGCACTTGATGGGATGAACACTGGGTGTTATACTATATATTGGCAAACTGAACTCCAATTAAAAAATAAATAAATAAAGCCATTCAAGTATTAAAGATATAAAACACACACACAATGAAAAATAAATAAAAACTTAAAAAGAAGAAGAAGAAAAGAAGAAGAAGAAGAAGAAGAAGAAGAAGAAGAGAAGAAGAAGAAGAAGAAGAAGAAGAAGAAGAAGAAGAAGAAGACGACGATGATGACGATGACGACCACCTTCCTTCTGGGGGATAAAAACACCTAAAAACTAGCTGAGTGACTCCTACACATTAAGTGAATGAGAAAAAATCCACATTGAAGTGGGTAGGAGAAACCAAGATACAATCTCACCACAAACCCCACCCCTGCCAATGTGTAGTGACCTACAAT